AGGGTTTCATGACCACGAAGGTCTTGAATAGACGCCAGATGCGGTGGGCCGAGGTGCTAGCAGCATATGACTTCCGTATACAATGGAGGCGAGGTAAGGATAACCCAGCTGATGGGCTATCCCGTCGTCCAGACCATATGGAGAAGGGGGACGCCCCTGATGAGAACATCCTAACTAGTCTCTTACAGAAGAGGATCGAGGTTAGCGATGGTGAATCGCATGCTGATTACATGCGAGTCAACGGCGAGATCGTCGTTGGCGTATTGACGCGGGCACGGGTTCAGAGCAGCAGAAGCCCTGCTGAAAGCGTATACAACGTTGTGACGCTACCCAATGCTGAAGCCCCAAATGTTGAGCCAAGCGGAGATGAGCAGCAGTCGGCTGGCGTGCGTCAACGCAGCGACGAGCTTGCTACTCGCTTGAGGGAGCTCCAAGCACTAGATGAGTGGTGCAAGGAGGCTCAGTGGTCGACGACGTCCGATGGCCGAATCACACGTGGTGTATTCAAAGGTGCCTGGAGCGTTGACAGTGCGGGTCTCGTGCGACGAGACGGCGTAGCATATGTGCCTCGCGATCCTGCCACTCGTCAAGAGATTATGAGAGTAAATCATGATGACCCGTGGCAGGGAGGACATTTTGGACGTCAACGCACAACTGACGCTATCATGCGACACTACTGGTGGCCGCAGATAAGGCGCGACATAGACGCATATGTTGCTACGTGTGATATCTGTCAGAGGATGAAGGTCCCCCGGCATAAGCCCTACGGGCAGCTCGAGCCCCTACCACGACCAGAAGGGCCGTGGCAGGATATCTCGATGGACTTCATCGTAGGTCTCCCGCCGTCGTTGCACGGGCGAGACGCATGCGATTCGATACTAGTCATTGTGGACAGGTACTCGAAAATGGTGAACCTGACACCATGTCGTAGCACGATAGACGCCCAAGGCCTAGGCCGGGTAGTGCTAGAAAAGATAGTTGCTAAGTATGGAGCACCGAGATCAATCGTCAGTGATAGAGGTTCGACGTTTACGTCAGCCTACTGGGGAACTCTCTGCTCATACCTTGCGACTCGTAGGCTCTTCTCAACCGCCTTCCATCCACAGACTGATGGACAGACGGAGCGGACTAATCAGACCCTGGAGTGCTACCTTCGCTGCTACGTCAACTATCAACAGTCAAATTGGGCTGAGTTGTTAGCTAGCGCTGAGTACGCAATGAATGCTGCACCGAATGCTACTACGGGAGAAGCACCGTTTAGCATTGTATACAGATTCTCGCCGGAGATGCGCATGAATGTCGCAGGCGAGAAGCAGACGAAAGACCCCGGGAATGTAGCCGCGAGAGAGAGAGCCGAAGTCCTAGCGAAATCACTCCGTATAGCGAGCGAGGTACACGCAATAGCGGAGCGTAACGCTAACCGAGTGGCTAAGAACTACAACAAGCAACGAAAGGCTATGGAGTTCGCAATTGGGTCACAAGTCCTCCTTGCGGCAAAGCATATTCGCACGCTACGCGCAAGCAAGAAGCTTGCGGATCAATTCCTAGGCCCTTTCGAGGTTGCTGAAAGAATTGGCGCAAATGCTTATCGACTCAACCTACCAAAGAAGTATGGCCGGCTTCACCATACCTTTCACATCTCTTTGTTACAGGCGTATCGCGCGCGACCTGGAGTCGCCCCACCGCCGCCTGTGGACATTGAGGAAGAAGAAGAATGGGAGGTTGAGGAAGTGCTCAAGGAACGTCGACTTCGGGGCAGGACTCAGTTCTACGTGAGATGGAAAGGGTTCTCTGAGGCGCACGATTCCTGGGAGCCAGAAGAGCACATGGAGAACGCACAGCACGAAGTCGAACGGTTCAGAGCAAGCACAAGAAAAGAAAAGAGGTAGGAGTGATCGTCTGATTCTCGCAAGCGAGGCGCATGGCGCTCGCAAGCGACCACCAACACAGCACTGTCTGATCACTCCGGGGGGGCCATGGTCCTATGCTACCTCCCATAGCGGTACGCCAGCGTGTCGCATGAGAGGCAGTAGGGACCATGACCCCGAAGCCCAAGCCCAACCCAACCACCCAACCATGTAGGGCCACAAGCGGCACGCGTGCGACTCGCACGCGGCCCAAGGGCAATGTCAACCCACACCCCACCTAACCACCCAATGGTGCGCGTCAGCTAGTTGGCGCCCTCTTCATCCTCATCGTCGTCGTCCTCCTCAGAGGACGAGACACCAAAGGTCTCATCGCCCCATTCATAGGGCTCGAAATTCCACTAGCTGCTGTTAGCACGCGACACGCAAGAGAGAAGCGCACTTACACGTTGACGAAGTGTATCAACGCCAACACGAACCGCCTCGAGGAGCAGGCCCATCTGGACTACAGGCGACACGCTTGCTACTCCAGGGCTACCTGGAGCAGCGTTGGCTGCGCGTGCGCCGCCAACAGCAGGGAGGCCAGGGGCGAGGCGGGCGGCGCGGGCGGCGGCCGTCTGCATCTCGCGCGACAGGATGTCGGCGAGGCCCCGGACCTCTACAGGGGCCGGGGCGCCGGGGCCGCCGCGACCGCAGGCCTCATTGGCAGCGAGCAGCTCCTGGGCACGGCGCACACAAGAAGCAGGAACCTCGCATGGTGTTAGCATGGTAATAGCAGCGAGATAGTACTCACAGGAACGCAACCCGTGGCACCACCACGATTGTTGGCAGCGCAGCGGGAGCAGCGCGTGCCACCCGCAGGGGTGTCGCAGACAAGTGGCTGGCCGGGCGCCAGCTTGCCGGAGCCCGGGCCGCTGCACAGGCGGCGGAGGCAGCGGCGGCAGGGCAGGCTCAGCGCCTCCTTG